GTTGGGTTGGTGGCGGGTGCAATTATATGGATTTGTCTTTGCAAAGAGCCCGATATCTATAGAGGGGGCAGAGCTCTACAATAACACTTGTTCAAAGTCTGGCTTGTCATCAAGGACCCTGTCTGTCCCTGAATTATATGAGGTGGCCTTTCCCCTGATGACACCCCAGAGTATTATTATTATTATAGAGCGCCAACAGTTTGCGCAGCGCTTTACGATATAGGGAAGACATTACAATAAATGGGGATCTGCATTTGATTGATTGACCTCTGACAGGCACCTCAGTACCCTCACGGTCAGGTGCCGTCATCATCATCAGCTACAGCCGTATGCAAAAGATAAATGACTTTTTGTTGGCTTTCTAAGTTAAAAAAAAAAAAGTGCAGGGAACATATTTAAAGGATGCTGCACTCTAGGTGAAATGGCACTGACCCTGTTTGCCCCTTTGCATGCGAGCTTACCTGGATCCGGGCGTTTCTTTACACCTTGACAGTGCAAGCACATTACAGCCCCATAGGCTTCTATAGGACCATCTCCCCTCGTCTCCGGCCTCAGCCAGGGCTATAAGGCACCAGGACAATGAGATTTGTGGTGCTTGGTTTAAACTAGCACCAGAGGCTGCGGCCATCAGATGCAGGTAAGTATCCATTTGTGGAGGGGGAGGGGCGGCATTTTAGGTGATTGCAAATGCGCAAACATGATAAGTGCACTTATCCTTTAAATATGATGAACTTTTTTTACATTTTTGATGCACAAGAAGGGATTAATTTATATAACTATATGCCTGGGTGGATCTAAGGGCAGATCTAGTGGCGCTTGAGCTATTTGAATGGCATCCACCTGGCATACAACTGGGTGGATGCCGTTTGCATGGCACTAGCACCCCCTAGATGGCACTAACAGGTATAGGAAATCTTATTCTTCAGTGGCATCCACCTGGCTTTATGCTGCCAGAACTTTTATAAATGGACCCCATAGTCTTTATTTGTTGAATTTAACTAAAACGTCTGGTCCCCATTTCACCTTATTGACACCCGCTCCGGTCACATCCTCCTTCATGTTTCATACATATCCTCAGGTCAGTAACCGTGCAGCAATGTCATGTTAAAGGGAATTCATTTTTACATTTTGTTTACTATATTACGTTAACAAATTTAAAAAAATACATAAAAAAAAACATTTTTACTGACTGAGTGTTTACAGAGCTCAATAGCTCAAGGTTTGATTTTGGGCAGACAAGTGGCCGGGCCCTGTTTCATCTCTGCTGCCGTGTGTAAGAAGCTCCTTGTGTCTCATTTGGCCCATCTATGGCTGGATCAGAGGGGGCAGAGAAAATGTTTTGCATAGAATGTTGTCCTGACCTTCCTCACTCCCGTGATGGGGGCAGACAGGACAGGAGCAGAGCTCATCATCCTCATCCTTTCTTCACTCTCAGGTGAGTCACTGACCCAACGCAAAATATGTGTCTGGTAAAGTCACATCTCCTGATGCTTCATATGGTGACTTAGTAGTGACACAAGGATGGAGATGACGGCTTTGAAGACCCAAAGCTGGCCATACACCAGGGACGTGCGGTCAGGGGAGGCGGAGCCTGACCTAGTATTATGGAGGAAAAATCTGTCAGCTTCAAGTCTGACAGCTTTTTCTCCATTCAGATCGGCTTCTATCAGGTTACACATCAGGGAAATCCTCCCCCCGCTGTGTCACCTGTCATGGACGGAGCGCTGGATGTTAATTACAGGCGGCGCTGCATCCGGCTTTTGGCAGCCAAGTTAGGTTACACAGCAGCGGGCTTCCCCACTGCTGTGTGTAACCTAACTTGGTGAGGCCAGAGCTGTCACAGCCTTTACTCCCTTGGTTCTCAACTGGTGGGTCGTGTCCCCGTGTTCAGTGGGTCGCCGCATGCCTTCTACTTTTCTAGGTGAGAGCCTCCTCAGCCTCCCCCCTAGCGCGGCACTGTCAGTTCCCGCGCCAAGCAGCCATTTATAATATGCTGCCCGGCACCGAGTGTCAGCTTGAGGTGGGATAGGATGGGGCTATGGCCACGAGGGAGCTCCATCCATACCTGCATTGCTTACAGCTCCTTCAGGTGTGTGTAGAGGTGCCTGGACCGGAGTAACGCACTGTACCAGGCAATCACACCTAGTACGTGTTCTGGTGCGGGAGATATGTTGCGTTGCCATTCATTTGAATGGCACCCCAAACACACCTCCCGCCCACAGTTCGATCGCCTGCACCGGAACGCGCGGTACTGCAATACCGTGCGGTCCATTGCAGTGGGACTTGGGTCGCGACTTAATGACCAAGGACAAATGTGGGTCCTGAGGTTACACGGGTTGAGAACCATTGCTCTACTCTTATGTTAGAGGCGCGAGCTCTGTGGATGGCTTGGACCAATGGCAAAGCGCCATTGGTCCAAGCTGTCCAATCAAAGAAAGAAAAAAAACCACTGAGGCCATCGATCTCGATGCATCAACAGGGACGAGCAAGTGAGGGACAGGGAGGGGCGGGATGTGCTGGGGGCGAAGCTGGGGAATGCCTCACCCAGAACCAGAGGTAACGCACGTCACTGCCATACACAATGCAACGCAATTTACATATTAAATGATTTTTTTATGCAGCTTTGTGTTTTTAATTCGCCGCAGACAGCAAGGATATGATTATTTCCGGGTGTGACTCCGTGATATTTTTCCACCTTCCCCATCCCCAGCAACGCGGATTTAGCGCATTTTTTTTATATTCCGCGCCGCTGACTGATACGTCTCATAAAACCTTCCCCCCCGGGCGTGGGCAATAAATCCGTCCCGCTGTGTCAGTAGCAGTAAAAGCGTCCCAATAACTCTCTCTGTCTCTTAGTAGGAGCGAAGCCGGAAAGGATTACCCGAGCCGATGAAAACGGCGGTGATGTCACGAGTCCGCGCTTCGTTTTATGAGGCATCTGAACGTGTAATTAGAGGGATAGCAGAGACCTGTCACTGCTTCCCCCGGAGTCCGTTTAACCAGCTTACTAGTTGGAGACTCATTGCTGAGTGCTGAAGTTTAATTTGCTTATGTTTTGCATTTCCTGGTTCCTTCCCTCCCCCACACCCACTTATTTTAGACCCAGTGATGTCATCGCTGGATCTCTATACAATGTAGGTAGATCATTGCTGGGGGAGGGGCTGTACATAGATTCCTGAAATCATCACAGCACCCTGTCTCAGCACTCCTCTCCATTGCCCTCAGCTCCGACGCAAGCAGTGGGCGGGCTCTTGGGAGGAGATATGCAAATTTAAAAATGCCTTGATGGGTGAATGCCATTTGGGAGGAGTGGGCGTTCCTTGGCAGATTGCATTTGCATGCAGACCGTCCTAGGTAACACCCCCCGGTGTAATGCTGGGCTTCCATGATTGAAAGAACTGAGGGCAGAAAGCATTGGATGATGTTAGATGTCCTCCATTGGAAATGAGGCGGGCTCTATCTGACCTGCTGCAGCTTCTAATGCACATTGTAAGAAGTCATTGTGAGCCGGTACAACCGCGCAAGGTTAAAGGCTTACAAAAAGCCAATAGGAGGAGAGAGCAGCAGAGAGGTGAGCTCGTCAGTCTGCCACTTCTCCTTTCACTTGTCCAATCACAGGCTGGGGGAGGGACTAGACCTGTAAGTGTTACCTGAACTGCAGCAGAGAAAAATCAGGTCTCCTGTCCCCTGCTAGACAGGGTTGTGCTGTGTGTCAGAGCTGAGTAAATCTCAGGACTGGATGGAGATAAATGCAAACACCCCCCCATATATGTATTTCATCTGTGTACAGGCAGTCCCCGGGTTACGAATAAGATAGGGACTGTAGTTTTGTACGTAAGTTGGAACAGGTACATTTTTTAAAGTGTAACTCCAGCCAAAAATGTTTTTGTTTTAGTTTTACGGTTAACCCCCTGTAAAGTTTGTGTTGCTGTGTGTGCCCCCCTGTTCAGAAGATTTCACCTCACTTTCTATCCCTGTGACAATTGGATTTAGAAGATTTTTGGGTTGTCATGGAAACAAGGATTGGTGATAAAGCTTCAGTGGAGACACCTTTTTCACCATGATCACTCTTACAGGAGTGAATTTCCCTTCCTAGGGGTAGATTTCCTTTCATTTCCTTTTGTCTCAAGGACAGGAAGTGAGATGAAATCTTTCTAATGATACAGACAGTAGTAAAAAAAACCTCGCAGTGACCCGGGAAGAAGAGGCGGGCGCTCCTCATCTGCACGTCTAACAAGAGCCAACTTCCTGTAATGTACGTACAGTACGGCGAACCAGGCCCAAAAAGGAGGGCGCTCCTCGTCGGCACGAGCGCGGTAGCATTACAACTACCCCTGCTGTACAGTAATAGTCCCCGTTTGTAAGTAGGAGTCGTATGTAAGTCGTGGACTGCCTGTATTTAGCTGTTGGGATGGTGTTCAGCTTCAAGAAACCTTCAAAACCATGTAAACACATTAAGTAAAAATGTTTGGACCCCTGCCTGCACCC